TCAGTGCCGATCAGAGAGAGCTTTTACTTTGAGCACCTTCATAATAAATTTTTTATAAAACTTCTACTGATGTATATGTTTTTGTTTGTGATCATCAGAGATAGCTTTTAACTGTAGCTTTATGATATGTATCTACATAATTCATTACTATTATATAAAATTGATTCTACGGAAATTGTTTGTCCAGGGTTGGCTCTCGAAGCATATAAAGCTCTTAAACCTTTCACATGTGGTTTATGCTTAATTTATGATTGTTCTATATAAAAAAAAAGTATGATTAGAAGGAGCTTTTATTCTATGCGTGCCCAAATAAAAGCTGCAGAGCGCTTTCAAAAGCTGCACCTGCGGGATACGTTTTGATCGTGACTGATATAAAATGTATAGAAAGCTTTAGAAGCTCGGCGCGTGCTGACTATTTTTTTGTTGCAACATTCTTTGTTCAACAAAGCAGCCTAAAAGCAGTCCTTTTTTTCTTAGTATCAAGCTTTGACTGTGAAAGCTGAGTTTTTTCCACACTTTGTTTAATTGCTGCCCTATTTTTTTTTACTGTTTTACATGGTATTGCTTAAAATGATATGAACAAGTTTCGCAAAGTTTTATGAAAAGCACACAGATATTCAAGAATTACACTTTTACCACCAAAACTAACACCAACGCAAAGGAAAGCGTAAACCACAGACTCTTGCTTTGTTATGTGCTTTTTAAAGCTTAGAAAAACTCACACATAACGACGAATTGTCCAACTATTTTTTTTTTAAATTGGTGACGCAGTGTTGTATTTCACAAATATTTGTTGTTCATATTTACAATAAAAATTCGAGTATTAAAATTTTTATGAAAGTAATGAAAATTTTGTACAGAGAGAAGAGAAATAGTTACAGTAAGAGAGTTGAAGAGTTTTACACAAATGTTTTGTTCATTTAGCATATTTTATAGGTAAACTTTTTTAAAAATCAATAATAATGCATGAAATGGTGTCAGTTGTGGTGACTAGCTTTAATTCGAGTACATAGCCTACAGAGAGTTACGAACGAGTATGTGAACTGGCAACAATGCTTACTTTTTCAAGTATATGATTGAACAACAACAACAAATCTACGAAATATGGGATTTTTGAAGGCGAATTTTATGGGTTTACTTGAGTTTGAATTGAATTTGGCTTATTTTATGGAAAATGTTTCAACGAAGGCACACTACACCAACTCAGCATTTATTAGTTCTAGCGGCGTGACGGCGCTTTGAAATGTGCGAGCCCGTTATGTTTCCAATTAAAAATTTACATTTTTCTGAACTAATTTTTTTTGTTAATATAAAGAAATTTTAATATTCTTTTCTTAATTTTATTTAATTTTTTAAAAATTAAATTAAGAAATGTTTCCAATTAAAAATTTAAATTTTTCTAAACTAAATTTTTTTTGCTAATATAAAGAAATTTTAATATTCTTTTCTTAATTTTATTTAATTTTTCAAAAATTAAATTCAGAAATGTTTCCAATTAAAAATTTTAATTTTTCTAAACTAAAATTTTTTTTTAAATAATTTTTTGGTAATATAAAGAAATTTTAATATTCTTTTCTTAATTTTATTTAATTTTTCTTAAATTTCAAATTGTTTTCAGGTTTCAGTTTTGGGTTCTGTGCTCAATTCAACAATATTTTCATATGCAGCTTTTTAATATTTTACTTCTATTCTCTGCAGTTATTAAAATTTTTTAATTTTAGTTTTAAATTTTAATTTCATTTGTTTCCATTTTTTTGTAATTTTCTTTCTCTTGCTCGGGGCGCACACATTTGCCTAGCTACCGTTTTGCGTTTACGTCTCTTACGAAGCGTTGCGCAATTTCGTTTCGTTTAGCGAAATTGGACGCGGCAACGGAACGTGTCGGACACCGCACCTGCAATAATCATCATGCAGATGGTGAACACCTTCTCGTTGTCCGTCTCGGCGGCCACATTGCCAAAGCCCACCTGCAAATATACAGAAAGTGATTTTACTGAAAATTGCAACTGGAAATAATTTGCAAAATTAGATTAAAATGTTTTTTTTTTTTTTATCTAGAATGCTGTAGCATTTACAGTTAAAATGGTTTGTCACGCTCTGACGCATGGCGCAATGCCCGAGAACTCACCGATGTCATGCAGGTCATGGTGAAGTACAGCGCCGTCACATACATACTCTTGCGCGACGGACCATTTATCAGTTCCGGTCCGGTGTCGTTGCTCCAGATGTACGAGTACGGCGATTGGGTAACGTTCGCCAGCTTCCACAGCCAGCTGTACTGTATCTGTGTGAAGGTAGCAAAAAGAAAAAAAATAAAATAAAAATGTAAATGAAAGTAAACAAAGAGTTAAAAAGTGCAGAAAAAATACGAAGTTCAAAGGAAATGGCGCGTGAATGTGCGAGGGAAGAAAAGAGTACAGCAATACACAGCAGTATAAGAACTAGCTTCGATATAACACACTTACTCCATTATCGGCATCGCTGCGTCCGATCGAGTACCAGATGCAGGCCAGCCAATGCGCCACCAGCATATAGAAGCAGAGCAGCAGTATGAGCATGGCGGCGCCATATTCCAGATAGCGATCCAGTTTGCGCACCACACGCCCCAGTCGCAGCAGTCGCACCACTTTCAGCGCACTAAAAAGCGAACCGATCCCATCCTCGTCCCGATCGAAGGCATTGAAGACATCGTATGGCAGGCAGCTGAGCAGATCGATGATGAACCAGGACTTTAGATAGTTCATGCGGATCACTTTGGGATCGCTGACCACCTCGCCGCCGGGACCGACGAACGTTGTGTGAAAATTTAAAACTGCAATGAAAATATGAAGAGAAAGAGAGAGGGATGGAGAAGAGGAGGTCGGTTGGGGAGATGAAGAGCAGGGAAAATTGGCGTACGGTGGAGGAAGGTGGTGGAGCGAAGAGAAAGAGCAGAAAGAGAGCAGAAATATTTTTTTTTTTAATTTTGAGACTAATGAGGGTCGCTTCGATCAGATATAGGCACAAAATAACGAGTGCAATAAACTACTCGAGAATAATCGTCTACAATTATTGGAATGTGAAGCCGTCGGTTACATTTAGAGAGAAAATTTTTTTATTGAGAGCTTCCTCATACTTATTTAAGACCCTAAAGATCTCATCACTTGCCTTATGAGGTCAGTTCATATTCTCTTCTCTTCTCTTTCTTATAACTAATTTAAAAAAAATGCTGATCAGGTTTCTTTTAAAAAAAAAGAAGAAAAACATCCAACGTACTTTTGCGTTTTTTCAAAGGCTTTATACTATTTTCCTAGAATATTCCTTTCTTTGACTAACTTCTGACATAGCATCTCGAACTGTTTCTTAGAAAAGCCATAACTTCACCGATTTATTCCCACAAATTTAATCAGTTCTTAGATTAAGTCTTTCGCGAGAAAATTACGCCCGAAAGTATGCAAAATTAATTGAGTAAGCCTTGTAATTCCCATTCGGCTTATGAAATTATTTGTAGAAGTCTGAAGTTGTAAGGTACCACTAAGAAGCCCAGTAAACGTTGCTCTTTGCTATAAAGCTACTCTTCATAGTTTTTTCAAGCAGAAAGGCTTACATTTTTGAATAAATATTTTTAGTACAAGCATAGCAAAACTTTGTTTTCGTACTTACCGATATCTATAAAGAATATAACATCTACTATGGAATCGACAACGAGTAGTGAAACGTCTTCTGAAGTTTTATTTTTAAAAGCTACATTGTACGGCACCTGAAAGGAAAATTAAGGCAGCGCCAACAATTAAGAAATGTCTCCAAAAATATTGAATATATTTTTCGTGGACATAGCAAATGAAATAGGCACGCCGATACACTGTATAAAAAGCAAGTACTGGCAGTAAATGATGGAGTGTTCTATAAAAACACTGCAGCATTGCTTCTAAAAAAAATATACCCATTTCCCATTGATTTGCTACCAATTTTTACGGACCACTCGAATGGGCAGGTAAACCATTTCGAGGTAGGGTTTTGTTGGCTATACAAAGGACTAAGTATTTTATTTTTTCTAATTTTTTCTCTAAAATACTTCATCGTTGGCTCATTCGCTATATGTTCAATGCTTTTCTTCTGCTTGCACAGACTTGCGCTCTTATAAGCAAATTGTAGCTGGGATTATATGCTTAAATAAATACTTAAGAGTAAATTTGTGCGTGTGTGCGTGTGCGTTAAGCACTTGAAGCGCAAAGTATTAATTTAACCACGACAAACATTACTCATACGCACCGCTGTACCTTTGAAGTGCCCAAAAGAGGCAAACAAACACGCCCACAAGATATGAACGCTAGCGAGCGAGCAAGTGATATGAGCAAAGGCATTAAATAGAAATTACGCTGCAGTGCACACAAATTAAAATATATTTTAGCAAAACATTTTTCGGCAACATTTTTTCGTACCCAAAACTCGCTTCGGTACTATCTCGCAGAGAATTGGTTTCCTTTAAGCTTTTCGTAAAAGTATTTCAAAATCATCAAAGTACAATCGCTTTAATCGAGCATTACAAATTAAAAAATCATTTGGGGTGGCAGTGTAACGAAAATTTCATTTGAAATTTACTGAGCATGTCTTTGCAAATTGTGGCCTTTGCCGACTTTATACATTCAAATCCCCCTCTCTTACACTTGTGCCTACATCATAGCGGCGATAATTTTCACTTGAGCGCACAAATCATACGATTTTAAGCGCTTAGCGGCGAATGTGTGGAAACCATTTACCCACAGCAAAGGTTCCCCAACAGCCGCCGGGGCGTATTTATTATGCCCAAAGAACATGAAACCTACATGTAAATGTTAGCCTAGCGCTGCCAGCACTTACACACACGTACACAATTACATTCATACGATTTGAGTGTGCTTTGCTACTCATAAATTCCCACATAGACTCGTTCTGGCAAAATGCTCGAGTGCTTGTAATTGCACACACACACACACAGATAGCAACCACATTCAAAGCGAAAATTTAGAGCACTTTGAATATTAAATGTAATAAAAGCGGCAGTTTATTGTATAGATGTATAATTGGCGAGAAGGCGAGTGCGAAAAATTTGGCAAAAATTGGATTTAGCTGTAAATCTTCTGCTACTGCACTAAAAGTCTTTGCTTCCAACTTTTCTGAGAGCATCGTTTAATGTGCTAGTATACACTGCTTGTAACCCTTTTAACTCTTGGCATTTACAGCTTTTCTTTGGTTTATTTAATATTCATTCATTTCTTATAAAAATATTTTTCGAAAAATTTCGGATATGCAGCTTTGTAGCCCATTAAATTTTATTATAATAAAGTTAAAGTTTCAAGTGGCTGTAAATATCGTTGATTTATGAAATTTTTTTTATTCATTTATTCACTTTAGGCCATTAGGATAGTGTACATCTTTGTTGACATTTTTCTTAATTTTTATAAAATTTTAAAATCGCATTTACACGTATAATATGCTACGTTTGTATAAAGAAAATTAATGAATAGTAAATAAACGAAATAAAAACTCTAAATACCAAGGATTAAAAGGTTGTGCTAATCAAATGACGACTAGTGTAAATCTGGAAGCAACTCTCATTGCCGCATGTAGGAAAAATGCTTTAGAACTGATTAAAGCGTACTTTTAGGCTGCCAATAAACTCTAACCCTGTAATGAGTGAGAGATTTTACTCTGTGCGCCTGTAGCAGTGAATGCCAAAGCATTGCATGCGAGCACAGGCCCTTAAAGCTTGTATTATAACTTTTATAATCAGAATTTCTCATATTAAAGTATGAACAATTTTTCCTGCATACTTTCAGGCCCACTTTGCCTCTCCTATCGTACCAGGTATGTAACTTTACGCTGTTTAAAAAGTTAAGTTCTTTTATTAAAAATTCTCAACGAACGCCAACCTTTGTCATTTTACTTATTTATGCATTTTGTGCGCACTGCCTATTCCATTTGCTTTGCTTTGATCGCACGTTACATTACACTTATAGCTTACCATAATGGCTGTATAAAATGTTAAACACAATATCACCCAATCCCAAATTGCTTTAAATGCACAATAATGCAAAAGAATGTGTGGCGGCGTTTTAGGCGCTTCTTGTCTGTATTGTGGCATAATATCGGCGCTGAGTGACATCATCTGTGAGAAATGAAATGGAGTAGCAAAGAAGAGCAAATAGACAAGAAATGGCAGATTAAAAATTGATTGTGCTTTGCAGTTTTAAAAGCTCGAATAATCTTTTTTTCAAATCAGTGTTTTATTTAGCCCATTGTAATTTGTCACTTGTCATCAGTAATATGTCACTTGCCAATTATTCACTGCCATTTCTCAATTATCCTTTTCCATTTTTGACAGTTTTCCTTACATCATTTGTCATTTGTCACTTGTCGTCTGTCACTTGTCACTTGTCTTCTAATGCTGGTCATTTGTGATTTTTCAGTTGTCACTTGTCATCTGTTTGTCATTTGTCACTTGCAAGTTTTCAACTGTCATTTTTTCCCTGCCTTTTGTCGTCTGTCATTTGTGAGCGTTTTTCTTAAGTCATTTGCCACGTCGTATCTGCCACTTGCTTTCTAATACTGTTAACCTGAGAATTGCCCGTCGCCGCATGTCATCTGTCATTTTTCAGTTGTCACTTGTCATTCATAATGCGTTATTTATTATCTCTATCTTGTGAATTGTCATCTGTCGTTTGTCACTTATAATTTAACAACTGTAATTTGTCATTTGTTAGATAAATGCTAACTGTCAATTTCTTGTCACGCTATGTCACTTGTCACCTGCAATTAGTCATTTGTCACTTGTCATCTGCAATTTTCCAGCTGTCATTGATCAGTTGTCACTTGTGGACTATAATTTGTGACATAAACTGTACTCACATGCGCCAGATTGGATTGTTTCGTTGGATCCTTCAGTGTTGGCAGATGTGCGCTGAATTGACGGCTGCGAGTCACCGAACGCGCCAGTTTGGCGAACTTCGATAAACCTAAAACTTGAGAGTAAATATCAAAAAGCTCATATTAACGAAAACAACACAACACAACAACGACAACTGAAATATAAGGAAAGTAGATAGAAAATGGCAAAATTTAACAACAACTAGTGGGACATTCTAGAGAAAACGGAAGAGAGAGATACTCGTGGTGCTGGAGAAAATTTTACATAGAGAGCTGCTGGCAAGAAAAGAGTTCGAATCTTTTACAAAAAGCGGCCTGGACCAACAGCAGTTAACTAGAATGTGTATGTTTTTTTTTTTTATTTGTGGCATTTAATACTCTCATCTGATGTCGATGTATAAGTGTCAGTTGTGATATTACTCAATATAAAATGAATGAATTGGTAGATTCTCCATAGAACACCTTTACGACACTCTTCACATTGACTAAATATTTTTCTTGTGAAGATTAGTTTTGTTACTTAACCTTTTAATCGATTTGGAAAAATTCCGATTGTCCTGAAATAATGATTAATTATATCTGTGCGTAACTTTAAAAATTTTGTTAAAATTTTGCCTTGATAAAAAGCAACTTGATTCAAATAAAAAGTAGAAGCAGTTATAAACAAAAGAACGATGTATAAAAAAAATACGAAAAAAGCCAATTGACGTCAATTATAACACCATAATGTAAATTCGAGAATTGTAAAAATTAAAAAAACCAGTTTGAAGAATTTCGAAACTAAATATTGTACAGCGGTTGTCAAATGAATCGCTTTTTTATAAAAAATGTTTAGCTTTAGTTTAATTTATGTATGTATCTAGAAAGGCTAATCCCTTTGAGGTCTTCACTAAATTAGTGCTCTTTGACATTCGAGGGAGAGCTGAGAAGTATTTAATCGACTAGTGTATTTTAGCAATTTAGCTTATTTTTAGAGAATGTGCTGAATGAGTAAAGACAACGCCTAAAAGTATACTTTGTCAACAAAAAATGCCTAAGACGTATGCTCCCAATTCTCAACCAGCGAGTGAAAAAAAATGTCTGATAACTTAAATTGATTGCTGATTCTAATTTCTACTGGTAGCCTTGCTACTTCACTTTAAAAGCCTTCTTCCACAGAAATCTGGAGCAGAAACTTCACAAGTTATTATAAATGAGCTCATTTTATGTAGTACTGTATTGGGGAGCCCATAAGCCCTGCAAGCTCCAGGAGAGGGTCTAATTTT